GCGCGTCCGAACGGACGACGGGCAGTACTCGGAATGGTTCGACGTGGGCCAAGGCCTCCGACAGGGATGCAACCTGGCCCCGCTGCTGTTCAACTTGTTCTTTGCCGCGATGCTCATGGTCGCCGTGACCGAGTTCGACAAGGACCCCAAGGTGACGGTGGACATGGTCAAGATCGGGACACAAGTGGAGTAATAGGCAAGAAGGGCAGGTCGGCGGGGAAGAGGACGACGGTGGTGATGGACGCGGAGGCCTTGTGGGCCATGCTCTATGTTGTTGCGCCCTGTTTCCCTCCCTACTGTATGCTATACTCCTTAATGTATGTCCTTTGTATTGCCTTCGACCTCTGAGCTGTGTTTCTTTTTTCATATCCTCCCTGCCTACTCTGCTGTGTTGGGTACCTTGATCTCGCTTTTTCTGTTGCTTTTGTTATTGTACATTTGGCTGTCTGCCCATCTGCCGCCTCTTTGTCCTGTTTGCTCCGTTACTCCCATACCCTGGTGCGTAGTGCCTGGTGCTGGTACGTTACCCTTTGATTTTTTCCTTAGGCGGGTGTGGGAAGCGTCCTCATTTGTTGTTTTTGTTTTATTTTGATCGGTTTCCGAGGGCTCTTTTCTCGAACGGTCGGTGTGGTACCTGTTTTCTTTTTAACATTTTGTTTTCTTTTTCCGAGTGGTTTGTACCCTATTATTGTTTTGTTTCCCCGCGGCGTCGTATGTGCCGGGTTTTGAGACCACGGGCTCCCCATTCTTTGTGGACTATAGAGCTAATGTGAGAACAACAACAACAACAACAACAACTGCCGTGTGCTCACCCGGAGGCCCCGCACTTGGACGTCAACCGCATACATACTCATCACACCCATAGTTCCCATACGCGTATCCCCCACAGAGGATGCACAGATCGAACTCATATCCAAGTACCACACACAGGTTGCATACGATATCACACCCCCTGGATCGATTTTCGAAGCTACACATATATAACTCGGCAGGAAAAGCGGTGACGGTGCCGAAAATGGCGGCTTTGGAACCGTCTCACCGTCCAGAGAGCTTTCCGCGAACGTATCCTTTACTTTCGGCATCATCTTCGTCGTGAAGCATTCGAGCTTTGAAAATCGATCCAGGGCGTGGGATATTCAATGTATGCATAGGTTATGGATGTTGGATCTTGTGGCAAGTTGTTGTTCGCCCGTAGCAAGCTGGTTCCAGAAATACTGAGGGTTCGATGGATAAATCACTCATTCGTGTCATCATCACGCATGTGCCTCTCCTCCCGCCCCCTCCCTCAAAAACAAGCCCTCCAACACCATCATTATTGCATGGTTAAGTAGTATTCGCACACACACACCTTCATGGACACTCTCTACTGTGTTCTGCGCACCGCTACCCTCTCCGTCCTCTCTCACAACTAACTCGCCGCGTCAACCTCGACCCCGATCCGCTCTTGACATGCGTTTCGAACAGGGGAAAAGTCGCAAAGGACGACAGCTGGATCTCAGCCTTTGAGCCCCGCCGCTGGAGGGTGATCTTCTCGCCCATCTTGTATCCCAACTCTGTCGAAGATGGTTGCAGCAAGGCGAAGAACCTGGATCCTGCGCGTCCAAAGGGCCTCGCAAACCAGAATCTTGCAAAGTTCTGGCTTGGCTCAGGGCTGCAAGCAATGGTGTGTGACAATAACAATCAAGTCTTTATTGATTTTGTCATATAGCATTGTAGCATTGGCTGCAAGGCAATGGTATATGTTACTGCTGTCTGCAAGGTCTGAACATGTTCCCGGGGGAGTCGCGGAATGCTAACAAGTCGACTTAGTACGTATGCACATTTTCAGTCGCAGTGGTAGTTGGGGGAGGGGCAGGGGGAGGTGCGTGGGATCTACCAACTACCATCTGTGGAGTACCAGACCAGACCAGGGTTGATCTTTGCGGTTCAGAGAGACAGACAGCGGGCAGTAGCGAGGCAAGAAGCACCATGGGCGAGAGGATTACCCTCCAGCGGAGGGGCTCAAAGGCTGAGTTTCAGCTATCGTCGTTTGCGACGTTTTCCCTGTTCGAAAAGCATGTCAAAAGCAAGTTAGAGGTTGACTCCGAAGAGGTGAGTAGAGAGAGAGAGGTTCAGCAGCAGCTGACAGGTGTGGAAATATCCACGAGGCCTACCCAGGGATTCCAACAGCGTTGCATGCTGCAGGGTTCGAAGGCCTGCGTGTTTTCACGCCAAGGGCGGGATCGCGTTGATCGTTTCTTCTTAGAAGGAACAAGAGGACACACGCGCCTGGCTCTCACCGGAACTCAAATTCAAAAAGAGCTCGTTGCGGCGTCCGGCGGCGCGGCGGCCGCAGCCGGTGCTGCTGCCGTTAGGAACGCGCCCTCTGTACTTTTGGTCCCCGGCCCTGATGAGGGGCGTTCCCCTGACCCACCTGGCGATTGCCTACCTTCGCTCCTACCCTTGCGTCAAATATGTGGCCGTTGAGTCCGAAAGGAGCCTGTGCTGCAAAGACGCTCCTCTTTTTTTGGAGCCTTTTTCTCGATCTCACCCACACAAGAAGGCTGCTGTGAGCGAGTCTGCATTTTTTGAAAAGTCTCACCTGCTATGCTGTTGGAGGTTGGTTCCTTTGCCGCATTTCACGTGGAAAGACAGCGGCGGGAGCGTGGACGCCATACGTCTAAGAGGCGCTCCCCCGTTCAACACGGCTGGAAATCCCACCCTGTTTTCGCGACTTCTTGAAAACGAGAAACCAACAGCAGTGTTCCCACACGCTGCCACCGCATCATGGTTTAATTTTTGCACGCGGGTCGAACGAGGTGGCCACCCAGCAGTTCAACCTACATCCCTGCTGGGAATTTGAAAGGTGGCCTTCAAGGGGCCGAATCCCCGCTCTATCCACACCGGATAATTCCGAGGCACAGAAGAGTAGCGCGTTTATCAAGGGCGCCTTGAAAAAATTCGCATGTACTTTTGACGAGCCGCGCTTCGTTGCTCCCTGTTGGTACTAGTCTAGAGCAGGTAGGCCGGTGTCTCTCTGGCACCAACAAGGCGCGGCAATTTGATATCCCAATGTACAGCGCAGTACATGTCTGGGTTGCCCAAGACACCACCCCCCAGAGACCGATGTTTGATGCTCGGTCACTCCGAAGAATATTCCAACCATGCATTTTCGGAAAGCGAAAGCTTTCGGCGAGACGTTCCAACATTTTGCTACATCGCCAGTTGCTGCAGAATAGTCGAAATTTGAAAATCGGCCCAGAGGGTGTGTGTGTGCGTTTATTATTAGCATCGACCGCGCTAACCGGCTGACCAATGAAAAGACATCAGTCTCAGTGCGGCGGGAAACACAAAATGGGTGGGTGTGTGTGTGTGATATCTTTACCACGGCGGTACACATGGATACAAAGCAGCTGCAATCGTGCCCATGGCCGTGTGTAGGTGGACCCTTTGTACATGTGTACAGAATCAACCAAAGACAGATGCGGCGATTGATGGCACATAACAACTACACCCTACAAGTCGCATCATGTCAGTGAAGGTACACCAGTATTCGTCGGTTGGTTCCGCCCAGGTAAATTTGGGTCGGCATCGTTCTCATGTCCTCGATTGTCACCTCCGATATTCCCGATTACATTTTTTTTTTTTGCCGCACTGATCCTCGTCGCTACCCTCTCTCTCCCTCTCTCTCTTTGTATTTGCCATCCCAAATTTTCCGAACGAATGACTATTATTGTACTATTATGTAAGCTGCAATAGTCTGCAGGTTTCCTGCTCAAGACAGCCAATGTAAGGACCGTCCAGGCGCTTTTGTACTTGGTATAACAGATTTCCAACGCAACACTGCTGTGCAAAGGAAGACCGTCCAGACGAGTGACTCCTCCATACAATACACATGTACCGGATGAGACCATACATGTAAGGCCGTCAGGACGGCTGGCTTCCAAGACTACCAGGACGCGCTCGGTCTGAGGGTTACATCGATGTTGGGGCTAAACACACCGCGAAACCCCGCTGCGTGGAGAAATTTTGGGAGGACACACCACTTTGTACATGCGTAGCCTACAGCAGTTCGCGTTTGCATTTTCAATTCAAAAAGGGGGCAGCCCTGTTGCTTCTGATTCCAGGAGAGGAAGATGTTGCCCTGAGTGTTTGGTCGTGCTGAAGTATCGTCGCTGGCACCCTCGCCCTTGTTGTGAAACAGTTGCAATTGCATTTTGAATGAGAGAGCGTGGGATCCCTCTGGAGTGGGCCCATGAGAGCACAGCAGTGTCATCATGGGGGTGATTCAAGATGTTTGGTATCGAGATGGCCGCTGTATTTTACTGCCGTGGCTTGTTAAACGCTCGAAACTACCCACGAAAGAGTGACACCTTCGAACCCCACGTCTTGTAGCTCTTTTTCCGATGAGATGGCTGTAACTCCGCCGTGGGTTCTTTTATGTGCAGTTCGTGGTGACAGACTTCGACCGTGAAACCGTCATCGACGAAGCGGTCTACTTATCGATGCGGGCTGGCGACTACTGGCGGCGCAACCCAAAGGCCAACCGCTTGTTTTTGGTGCTCGACAGCATCAACGACCCGTGAGTTTTCGGTGACCACCGTGCGACTTGAAGTGTTTCATTTTTTGTGCAAGGCTTTTTGCACCCCTTGGTGTTTTGCCCTGTAGAGCAGAGGTTTGGTTTCGTCCTCCAAGCCCAGAACATGACACGGTTGGTGTTTTGGCCTATACGGCAGAGGTTTGGTTTCGTCCTCCAAGCCCAGAACATGACACAGCTGGTGAATGCCTACGAGCTTAAGGGCGCATCCATCACCAGCTTGTCGTGGGTCACCTTTGTTGCTCTATGCCAGAGTTGGTGTCGCGTGGTAACTTCGGCATTTCATCGTGAATTTAACTTGAGTGTTATCGTAAGGCAGCCTTGGTATGCTAAGATTGCTTTGGTATCTCAAGAAGTGCTGTCGTACTTGGGTATCGTAAGGCAAGTCTTGTGTCATGGTGGAGTCCAGAACGTCGTACCAGAGGCGTATAAACGACCGAGCGGAAGCAGGCTTAGGGAGGCGCATCCTTGCACCCAGCCCCAAGATCGAACGAATGCTCTTCTGTGTTTGTGTGTGTGTGTGTGTGTGTCAGCCCTCATGAAAAGCCATGGAGGAGGCGTTTGTCTGCTTCACACTCTACTAGGGGTGACGCGCTGTAGCGTCACACACCGACCCGTTGCTCGTGTTCCACCGCTGCTGGGGTACTACTTTTGCCGTGCACCACACTCATGCTTGGGGTTAACGACCTTGTAACGCCACATACCGGACGGCTAAATTCTGCCGCTGCTGTGGTCCCCGGTTCTTGTTTGGTCCCCGCAGTCTCGAGGGTGATGTCGAGCTGGAGGTGTCGTACCAGCCGCACTTCAACACTATCACCAAGAGCGGAGATGCCCACTTCAGCAAGATCCCGCACGCTGTCGCGGAGCTCGTCGACAACTCTATCCAGGTTAGAGGGGGGCGGGGTCAAGGAGGCCGGTTTCTTGACGGGGGATTGGTTGATCGAAGAGAATGGAGCCGGGGGGGGTGAGAGGGGTCGGAGCGAGGAGGCCGGTTTCTTTTAGGAGGATTGGTTGGGCGAAGCGAATGGAGCTGTTTGGTCTGGGAGGGGTGGTTGTCTCCGGTGCCTTGTCTGAATTGTTTCGGGTGCCCAGAATAAAAGGCCGGCCATGGATCTACATGTATGCGGCCGTACACGGGGACGACTTTACTCTGTATCTTTTCCTTCTACACCCCCCCCCCCCCCCCCCCCCCCCCCCCCCCC